TCCACCTGGAGACCTACGACATCACCACCATCAGGGCCTCCGTCGGTGAGTACACAGCACAGCACAAAAAATAATAATAATATATATATATTTTATTATTAAACTTATTTTTAAACTTAATTAAAAGTAAACATTTCATTATTTTTTACTGTGCAAATTGATGGAAACCCCCTTTGACAATTGATTTAACAAATATATACAATTTAAAAATAGCTAATAGCTTTAAAAAAAAAAGGTTTGTTTTAACTGCACATTGATGGAAACCCCCTTTGACAATTGACTAAAAAAAATATATATATATCATTAAAAATATATGTATTTTAAAAATAGCTTATAGCTTTTTAGAAAAACTATGAACATTGATGGAAACCCCTTTGATAAGTTCCCTGTTTGGGTGGAGTTTGTGTAATTAATCATCAGATTCATGTATTTTTAAAGGGTTTAATGGATCAACAAGGGGAGAACTTTAATCAGTTATAAGCTTTTGTTTTTTTTTTTTTTGTTTGTTTTTTTATATTGCACAGCATCCTCAATCTGTTATTTGTGTTATATTTAATTTACTGTTTTATTTTTTGCACATGAGCCTATATTTTATTTTCTGTTTGTTGGTTTTTCTTCTGTTCTCAGGACCCTAATATGACCTGATGTTGATGCATTTTGTCTTGTTTTTTCCCCTTAGGGATGTATTTGGTGTCGAAGTACATCCGAGAGAAGACGGACAGTGTGGTGATCTTCTCTGGAGAGGGTTCAGATGAACTGACTCAGGGATACCTTTACTTCCACAAGGCAGGTTCACCCCATTTCAACCCAAAATACATTATTTATCCCAGGATTTGTGTCTGAGCTCTGGATGAGCCGGGTTTCCTCCTGGAGGACTTATTTTGACCTATATACGTATATACATATAGTTTTTTATGTAAGAATGCTTATTTTTCCTCATCAGATGGTTATCAATTTTTATAAATTCACATGATGTGATTTTCTGGAATTTTCTTTGGGATTCTGCCTTTCACTGTTAGAATGTACATATGATTAAAGTTATAGATCGTTGCATTCTTTGTAAGTGGGCAAACCTGCAAAATCAGCAAGGGGTCAAATACTTATTACCCCCACTGTATGTATATATGTACAGACATGTATATGTGTATATGCCACTGTTTTATTTATGGAGCCAGTAACAAAAATGACTTCCCTCTGGTATTATTAAAGTATTTATGATTACCCCCCCCCCACAGGCTCCGAGCCCCAAAGCCGCGGCGGAGGACAGTGTTCGGCTGCTGAAGGAGCTTTATCTGTTCGACGCCCTGCGGGCCGACCGCACCACGGCCGCCCACGGGTAAGAACCGCGACCTTTGACCCCTCCACACACACACACACACACACACACACACACA